TTCCGAAGATTTGTCAGAAACTTCGCAGAGGTCGCACGCCCCCTCACTGATCTTTTGAAGAAAGATGTACCATTTGAGTGGGGTCCTGATCAAGGCACGGCCTTTTCCCAGCTCATAACACTTCTGACCACGCCACCGATTCTCGCCCACTTCGACCCGTCTGCTCCAACCGAGGTCCGCACTGATGCTAGTGGCTACGGTATTGGCGCGGTTTTAGCCCAGCGTCAATCCGGTCACGATCGAGTTCTTGCGTATGCCAGCCGGCTCCTTTCTCCTGCCGAACGCAATTACTCTATTACGGAACGCGAGTGCCTGGCGCTTGTATGGGCAGTTGGTAAATTCCGCCCCTATTTATATGGCCGGCCTTTCACAGTTACCACTGACCATCACGCTCTATGCTGGCTTTCAGCCCTCAAAGATCCAACGGGGCGCCTTGCTCGTTGGGCTCTGCGCCTCCAGGAATTCACATACACAGTGGTTTACAAGTCTGGCCGTTTACACCAAGACGCCGACTGCCTCTCTCGGTACCCCGTTGACGCTCCAGATCTAGTAACCGACGACGCGTCCATCTGTATTTCCTCGCTCTCTGCTTTCGGCAACATAGGATGTGAGCAACGGCGTGACGCGTCCCTACGCGAGCTAATCGACCGCCTGAACACAGGCTGTACAGACAATTCGCTTCGCATGTTCGTTGTCATAGACGGCATTTTATACCGCCGCAACATGCACCATGTGGGAAACGAACTACTACTCGTAATACCCACTCATTTGCACTCGACCGTACTTCAGCAACTACATGATGTACCAACGGCTGGCCACCTTGGTGTTGCCAGAACGTACGACCGTGTCCGCCGACGCTTTTTCTGGCCCGGCCTCTACCGTTCTGTACAACGTTATGTTAGGTCTTGTGAGTCGTGCCAACGCCGCAAAAGGCCAGCGGTACACCCCGCCGGGCTCCTTCAACCGATCGACGTACCTGCCGAGCCTTTCTATCGTGTCGGCCTCGACCTGCTGGGCCCTTTCCCTCTTTCTACCGACGGTAACAGGTGGGTCGCCGTCGCCATAGATTACTCGACCCGTTTCGCAATTACGAGACCTCTTCCAAGCAGCTGCGCTACAGATGTCGCCGACTTTTTGATTCAAGACGTCATCTTACATCATGGTGCTCCTCGTCAACTGGTCACCGATCGCGGTCGCTACTTTTTATCTAAGGTAATTGACGATCTACTTCGTTCTTGTGCAACCAAGCACAAGCTTACGACGGCCTACCATCCTCAAACAAACGGCCTCACAGAACGTCTGAATCGCACACTCACTGACATGCTCGCCATGTACGTGTCGACGGATCATCGTGACTGGGACATTGCGCTACCCTTTGTCACTTTCGCTTACAATAGCTCACGCCACGACACTGCTGGATATTCTCCCTTTTACCTTTTGTATGGAAGAGACCCGACATTGCCGTTCGACACGCTTGTACCCAACCCTACCGACCTGTCCACAGCATATGCTCGCCGCGCTATTAGCACCGCGGAGAAAGCCCGTCAGATTGCCCACCAGCGCCTTTCGGACTCGCAGCTCCGTCAGAAACGTAGCTATGACAGCCACCATCGGCACGTCCACTTTAGTCCAGGTGACCTCGTTCTTCTGTGGACTCCGTCGCGACATGTTGGTCTGGCTGAAAAGCTTCTACCCAAGTATTCCGGACCTTATCGTGTGCTACGGCAGGTAACTGATGTTACCTATGAAATAGCACCTCTAAACCCTTCGATACCTTCCACATCTTCCGACATCGTCCACGTCGCTCGCCTCAAGCCGTACATCTCGTCCAACACCTGCTAACAAGCGCCGGGTCGGCGCTTTTCGCCGCCGGAGGTCGATGTTGCGGGTTCGCGGCTATGCAGCTATGCGGGCGGTGCGAAGAAGAAGACGACGACGTTTTTGGGCTGTTCGAAATACACAACGGCTGCCATCTTGACTGCTGGAGTACTTTTCTACTCTAAAGTAGTAAATACATTCGCAACAATATATATATATGCTACCGTCTGTTTGCCCAGGTGACGTCGTTATTGGCGTCGGCTACGCCCCTGCAGCGACTGGTGCGCGATGTGGTGGAAGCGGGCGAGACACTGAAGAGTGTCAGTTTCGTCGGCAGCGTCGGCGGCACCCTGCCCGCGTCGGTCGTGGAACAGATGAAGAATGTGTTCGATTTACGCAAGCTGGCTCACACGTACGGACTCACCGAGGCGGCGGGTGTGGTGATGGTACCGCGGGTAACCGAGCTGAGCGTCGCCTACCTCGGCTATGCGTGTGCCGGGGTGCTTATCAAGGTAAGAATTACTGACGCTTAGACTGACCAAATTGTATGTAGTTGGGCTAAATTAGAACACATCACGTGATTCGAAGATCTAACGCAAGTAACGTCAATGAAAAGGAACGTCTCCTGAGACCCTCTGAAGGAAGATGTGATAGAGCCCTAAATAGCCCCCTAACCACCTCCGATAACTTTTTTTAAGGTTTCAAGTAAACGCGGGCATATAGTTAAGAATGCTGTCACGATAAACAACGTCGTATGCGACAGCGTTACGATCCGCGGGTGTGCCGAAAATTCCAAGAAACAATAGACATATTTCGCCACGTGTCTACAGCAGCCGCATGGACACAGCCTGCTAGCCATTTGCAGGCAGGCCGTGTCCGTATACGGCAGCTTCGGACGCGCAACTAAATCTGTCTAAATATTTGTTCTCTCCAGGCTTTTTGGATGGCACCATCCGCGTCCTCTCGTACCATCCACAAAAGTATTTTGTTTGTGTACTCGCAAGTGCGTGCATTCGCCGCTTTTCGTGTGAGCAGTTGAACGGCATGGTCAGGATAAGAGACGATTCGTTCTACGAAGCTTAGCCAATAAAAGAGTGAAGCGAGCGGGAAGTGCTTTTGTACGAACGAACGAGAAAAACTTTATTAAAAAAAATGAAAAAAAAAAACCTGCAGAGTTACCGGCCCGGGCTCAGGCCACCCCGACGTTTCGTGCGGTGAGGCGTAGCCTTTCCACCGCTGTCCGGGCCCGCTGGATTGCCCACAGTTGGTCGTGCAGATCTGAGCTAGTCAGCGCACATAGCCAACGCTCCTCGAGAAGGTCCGGTTTTATAATGTCCTCTCGCGGTATATTACTGTGACCTGTGTGCATTGCCATAGAATATGTGCCATATCTGCGTGTTCGTGCTTACAGAGGGTACAGCTTGTTTGTGGCTATTGTCTGGAATTTACTCTGTTCAGGTGTACTGTATTTGAAAAGGTTCTGGCTTGCAATCTTCGCCAATCTGTTTCTTGAGATCTGTCTAGCTGTTTGTGTGGTGGCGGATATTCTTCTCGTGGTCGCTTATGGTGTGCCAGTATGTCATGGAACGTGACCAGTCTGTCTATGTCGTCTTGTATCGCATATTCATCATTGTCATCACCTCCATCGTCCCCATCGCTTCCACCGGAGTCGTCCCCCTTCTGTGGTAGGTGCGGGGGGCCGGGCCGTCGCTATCCGAGTCATGGTGGGTAAGTTCTCACACGGTTCGGTGGGCCTTCTCGTTGAGGTTCTGAGGGATGATCGTACTATCAAACGCGCGTAACTATTACTCAGCTACAACTTTTTTTTGGCACTCAAGGGAAAGCTATACGGAGGCGGAGCTTCTGCAAATGTTGCACTGCGCGAAGTAGTTCATTTCGGCACGCGTCTCGTAACGCCATGGAAAGCGACGGGAGTGCACCATCAGCTTTTCAAATAGACTCAGACGCCGCTTAGCGTTTGAGGTGTACATAAAAAGGCGGGACTTCCTCGCGCGTTCAAAAATGCGGAGTTACAGCAAATAAAGTAAATACGACCATCTGAATGGCGGGAGCTTCGTCCTGTCTCAAAAAGCTCCACGTAGAAAATAAAGGGGGAACTTCTGTATTTCGCAGTGAAAATGCGGGTGCTGTTGTGGAACTACACTTACTGGTGGTAGGATGCCCGCGATTTGGCTCTGTAGCCTTCGCTCCTATGCCACCGTTCTGAAACACTCTCGTGGTTGCGTTTGTTGAAGACTTGTGCAAAACTGCAACTTCACAACTCAGTCACTCAATTTCGACCCCTGGCTGCCTTAGGGGCTCTTTAATTCGAGTCATTGACGGAGGGCCGCAATTACGGGAAAGAAACTTGCGCAACAATAACGCGTTCTGCATATACTGCAGGCCAGACGCTTCCCCAGAAATGTTTTCGGGGAGGGGGGGGGGCGCACCTCCTTGATTTCGAAGAGGGCACCCCCTGAAATGGTCATTTTTAGCTATGCCATGGCGAGGAAAAAAATTGAGGGGGGGGGGGGCATGGGCCCAGTGCGCCTCTTCCTGGCTACACCCCTGCTGCTGGCAATATACATGCAGTCATAACATTGCTATTTATATAATTAATGGGATTGTATTTTGTGTAAATTGGATTGTAACAAACAAGTAATTAGAGAATTTCACAGCAGCAATTACGTTGCCAAGCTAGGAACTATCTTTGACATTCTTGCGCATATGTAACCGTATTTTCAACTTCTATTTATTTTTTATTAAATCGTTTGAAATCTGTTTAGTCCGGAGGAAAGACAGCTGAAGAACCAATATTTTGACATTTCTTGAAATTATTCCCGTATTCAAATATTGCATTAGTGCAACCCGAATCTGAGTAAATCGAATAAAAAAAAGCCTTCTTTCCGGGATATGATTGAGTGTATGTTAATGGCACATTAGATATGCTGATGACCCGTCTGTATTTTCTGGCAGGTAGTTGATGTCACCACAAGGAAGGCTCTTCCAGCCGGAAAAGGTGGCGAAATTTGTGTGAAGATCCCGAGCGTCATGATGGGGTACTTAAACAAGCCGGAAGCTACGGCACAAGTCTTCGACTCCGAAGGATGGCTCTTGTCTGGTGAGGACCTTTTGATCCCATCGTGTTACGTAAACTAAGTTCCAGTTTTTTGAACGTCCTGGCAGCAGGAAGTTTACGTAGCGTGACACTATGCCGGCTGCCAATAACGAAAAATGTTAGCGTGCAAAAGGCGTGTTCTTCATTGCGCACGTATGCGCGCCCACCGTCTTTGCTTAATCAACACAGACCGAATTTTATGCAGTTATGTATACCGTGTACTATAGAAGATGCTTTAAATGTAGTGTGTTGTAATCCTCACATAGCATTCGTCCTAATTTTATTTTATTTTTAGTGCGCGAAGCTTCGTAATCATTTATTCCGGCAAGAATCTCGTCATACGTGTGAATTGATGACTGCAGCTTCAACACGAGGGACTAAAAAAAAATCATCCTGTGATGACGTCGCCATATGACGCCATAATCGCGTCACATATATTATGAACGCTACCGTGACGTCATACGACCACGCTATCACATCACAACTTTGCCGATCAGAGAAGCAAGACAAAACCACACGACGTGCAGAGAAAGCTTGCAGTGCTTTTGATCTCGGAGTCAGAACAAAACTACGTTAGGTTCAGAAAGGTTTCTGGTCGGTGTGGAGGAGTGTCAGTACATCGAGTGAAAGCAAAGAGAAGATGGCTTCTGCCTTCGAATTGTTTCAGGTGAATGTGTAAGGAACACAGCAACCTATCTAAAGAAATTCTGTCACATGTTTACGCACTATGTAGATGAGGTTCGAGTACTTATTCTGCTGTGCACGTAGGGGATATCGGCTACTACGACGAGGAGGGCCGCGTGCATTACATAGACCGGCTGAAGGACACAATCAAGTGCCTCGGCTTCCACGTCCCAACGCCAGAGCTTGAGCAGCTCATCAGCTCGATGGCCGAAGTGAGTGAGGTGGCCGTGGTAGGTGTGCCCTCTGCCGAGTATCAGGACGCGCCGATCGCGTTTGTTGTCCTGAAGCATTCTGTCGTCGGGAACGCCACCCTAGCCCTGAAGATCAAGCAGCACGTCGCAGGTGAGTTGTGGTTTGCTATGCGTCCGTATCGGCTACGACGGTGATCATGTGGCCTTGTGTTGGGAAGCGCGCTCGTCAGGAGTTTGTTTGGCACCCTCAGGACGACAAAACGTATTATTTTATCTTAGCACGATGATGCGCAAATTTTAAAATGATAACACGGAGGAAAAAAAAAAACCACCAATCACGGCGTGTTCCTTTCTCCTTGTCATCGTTCTTTCGCGCACCACCTTGCTATGATGTGTTACGAAGTCGCCCAGCTGCAGTTCGTATTTAGTGTCTCTCTTCAGGTGTGAAGTGGTTCATTGTTAAGCGCTTGGGTCTCAAGATGACCTTAGCCTGTGGGTGACTGTCATCAAATTTTTTCCCGCAAGGATTGGGACAGCGAAGTTGGAGTGAAAAAAAAGGGTGCATAAACTTGAGCTAACGTTGCCATTCGAAAGGCGGTCTTTTCCTTATCTCACGTATAGATGATTTCTGAAGCGGATTTGGCATCGGGTTTCGAGAGCAATATCCAAAATAATTTCTTGTATGACGAAAATCTGGACCCCGATTCTGAAATAGTTTAGAGCTATAGAACAGCACCGCGGTCCCGGAATACTACTATAAAGCGTATTCTTAGATGACTCTTATCTCTGTGGAGGATAACGAAATTTCCGGGAAAGATCTGGTAAAGCTAGTGCTTGGCTCTTTTTCGTTTGAACAGCTTGCTGAATTTAACAAAATATATATATCGTTTCCATAAAAAAACAAATGGGCCATTTTCAAATGAGAGTGATCGCAGCCCGAGGAGCAGTAGAAAGAGCGAGTGAAGCTCACCTGATACCGCTCTCTTCTCGAAGATGGTGGTAGTAGTAAACGTAACTACCACCACCGAAAAGAGAAAGGTATCAGGTGAGCTTCACTTACCACCGCCACCTTTGGAAAGGAAGAGAGGTATCAGGTGAGCTTCGCTCACTCTTGATTTTCAATGTTTCGAAGCGTGCCGCCCCTGGCATTCTAAGCCGCCCAACGTTCTCGTGATAGCCTTCAAATCACGCTCGGCTGTACGCGGCTTGCACGCAGACCCTGGGCCGCGTGTTTGGGACCCATGATTTAGCGGATAACAAAATGAAGAATAAGCAGATGCCACTCCATATACCAGGCTGCATATACCAGTCTGCATGCTTAGTTTCATTGCGATAGAAATTATACAGACACTCTCGGCGGGTAATCACCACCACCGTTACCGCGTCGTGCTTCGCATAAAGACCAAATCGATAACGCCGTCCAGTGCTTCGTACGTTGCAGGGGAGAGTAAAAGAGCGCGAGCGCGGCTGACGAATTAGGCTGAAGCAAAAATGAAATTGGCTAGCCAGATTCATCATGAGAAAGGCGCACGTGATAACATCGGCTCGCATGCGGGGGTTGCTGTTGATTGCCCCCAAAGCAGGGAAGAAAGCTTCGCGCGAAGCACGCATGGGGATAGAAAACGGAGGGAGGAGGAGAGAGAGGTGGAGGATGCGTATACGTCTGGCAGACAATTTGTCATCATCATCATCATCATCACCACCATCATCACCATCATTATCAGCCTGACTACGTCCACTGCAGTACAAAGGCCTCTCCCATGTTCCACCAATTAACTCGGTCCTGTGCTTGCGGCTGCCAATTTATACCCGCAAACTTCTTGATCTCATCTCACCACCTAGCCTTGTGTCTCCTCTCCACCCGCTTGCCTTCTCTGGGAATCCAGTCAGTTACCCTTGATGACCAGCGGATATCCTGCCTGCACGCCACATGCCCGGCCCATGTCTATTTCCTTTTCTTGATTTCAACTATGATATTCTTAACCCCCGTTTGTTTCCCAATTTACTCTGCTCTCTTCTTTTCTCTTAAGGTTACACATACCATTTTCTTTCCATTGCTCGCTGCGTCGTCCTCAATTTAATCTGAACCCTCTTTGTAAGTCTCAAGGTTTGTGCTCCATAGTTATAAGTACCGGCAAGATACAGCTGTTATATACCTTCATCTTGAGGGACAGTGGCAATCTACCTGTCATAATTTGAGAGTGCTTGTCAAATGTGCTCCACCCCATTCTTCTAGTTACGTCAATCTTGTGGTTCGGCTCCGCGGTTATTACCTGGTACGCTCGAAAATTTCAGAATTTGTTTTTTTTTTTCTTTTTTTCCCTCTCTGTTTCTCTCTCTCGGTTTTTTTTACATAATTTGTATTTTATGTTTCCGTTATTGTTCTTTTACAAGTCTTTTACAACTTGAAATGGACCATATCTTGAAGCGTGGCTCTCTTCCGAGGTTGTTGTACATTACTTTCATTTCCTGCAGAATAATTTTAAGACCCACCTTTCTGCCTTCCTTGTCTAACTCCGTAATCATGAGTTGCAATTCGTCCCCTGAGTTACTCAGCAACGCAATGTCATTGGCGAAGCGCAGGTTACTAAGGTACTCTCCATTAACTCTTATCCCTAACTGTTCCCATTCTAGGCCTCTGAAAACCTCCTGTAAGTTTGCGGTAAATAGCATTGGGGAGATTTTGTCCCCCTGCCTTACACCATTCTTGATTGGTATTCTGTTGCTTTTTTTATAAAGCACTATGGTAGCAGTTGATTCCCTGTAGATTTCTTCCAGGATGTTTATTTTCCAGGATATTTCATGACAACGTCAACGACGGCAGAACTCGAGGCTCTGCGCAATGCACTGGACCTCATCAATTCAGAACAAAGACCAGGTCTGTGCTTTCTGACTCAATGGGCTGTGTTTCTGGGCTGTGTTTTCTGACTCAAAACCAGCGTTACAGTGCCTGATATCAGTTCTCCGACGCGGATGCCACGACCAGTTGACCTACCAAACCGTAAAAACTTCACCACCTTTTAGTACAAAAAGGCCATGACATCGTATTTCAGTGGTTGCCTGGGCGTTGTGGTATAGGAGGCAATGATTCTGCAGATCATGCTGCTCGCACGTCACATAAAGAAGCGAACAGCGTTCTGATTCCGCTTTCAAGAGCGGATGCGGCAAGGCAGATTCGTCAACTGGCCCGCAGTCTCACACTGACTGAGTGGAACACACCAAGCGTTCGACGTACAAGACTGCACGAGCTCGACCCTTCACTACAACTCTGGCCTCCACCCTGCCTACATCGACGTGCAGCTTCGCTTCTCTATCGCCTTTGGCTGGGAGTTGCTTTCACGAAAGCTTATACCATGTTAATCGGAATTACTGACAGTGCGGCGTGCGATGTTCGCGGCACCGACGAAAATATCGAACACCTGCTGTGCCATTGTCCTCGATTTGCCTCAGATAGACAAGTACTTGCCAACGCAATGCAGCGACTGGATGATCGGCTTCTTTCTGTGCAGGTGCTATTACAGGAACGTCCACGTGCTTCTACAGGCCACAAGGCAGTGAAAGCCCTGCTGTGTTGCCTGAGAAAGACAGGCTTGTGTGAGCGCCGCTGACATGTGGTAGAGTTCTACACGCTGCAGTGAAATTACTGTCAACCTTTCGCTAACGTTTTTTTTCTTTTCCCTCTCTTCCCTCTTTCTCGTCTTTCTTGTCCCCTTCCCTAATCCCCAAGTGTAGGGTAGCCAACCGGATGTCTTTCTGGTTAACCTCCCTGCCTTTTCCCTTTTGTTGCTCCCCCCCCCCTTCATCGACGCCCTGATTCCGCAGTGTCTGCATGACGGCTGATATTTCTACTGAATCAAACGCCTTCTCGTAATCTAAGAAGGCTATGTATAGTGGTTGGCTGAATTCTGAGCATTTCTCTATTACCTAACTGATGGTATGAATGTGGTCGATTGATGAGTAGCCTATTCGAAATCCTGCTTGTTTTTTTAGTTGATTGAATTCTGATGTTTTCTTAACTCTTCCTTTGTGAATAGCTTGTATACTACGGTGAGCAAGGTTATCGGTCTTTAATTCTTCAAGTCCTTGTCATCTCCTTTCTTATGTATTAGGATGATGTTAGCATTCTTCCAAGACTCTGGTACTCTTCCCGTCAGGAGGCACCTCGTAAACAGGGTGGCTAGTTTTTCTAACACAATCTGTCCTCCATCTTTCAGCACATCTGATGTTACCTGATCCTCACCAGCAGCTTTGCCTCTTTGCATGCTATCCAAAGCTTTTCTGACTTCTTCTATCATTACTGGTGGGGTGTCATCTGGGTTACTGCTAGTTCTTATAGTATTAAAGTCGTGGGTATCCCGGCTACTGTACAGATCTCTGTAAAACTTCTCCGCTATTTTAATTATCCTATCCATATTGGCAGTTATTTTGCCTTCTTTGTCCCTTACTCCATACATTCAATTTTTTGCCTATCCCAAGTTTCCGCTTCACTGCGTTGACGCTTCCTCCGTTTTACAGAGCGTGTTCAATTCTCGCCCTGTTATACCTTCTTACATCGGATACCTTACGCTTATTAATCAACTTCGAAAGCTCTTTCAGTTCTATTTTGTCTGTTGTACTTGAGACTTTCATGCTTTGACGGTTCCGAATGAGATTCTTCGTTTCGTGGGACACCTTGTCAGTGTCCTGTCTAACTACCGTGCCTCCAACTTCCACTGCACACTCCGTAATGATACTCGTCACATTATCATTCATTGTATCTACGCCAAGGTTGGTTTCCTCAATAAGAGCCGAGTACCTGTTCTGAAGCGAGACTGAATTCATGTACTTTCGCTCTCAGTGCTAGCTCATTGATTGGCTTCTTGCGTATCAGTTTCTGTCGTTGCTTCTTCAAGTCTAGGTGAATTCAAGACCGTACCATTCTGTGTTCACTGCATCGTACCTTGTCAACCACTTCAACATCCTGCACGATGCCTGGGTGTGCACTCATTATAAAGTCTATTACGTTTTTATTTTCGCCATTAGGGCTCTTCCATGTCCACTTAGGTATCCTCGTTTTCGGTAGAAGGTATTCAAAATCCGTAAATTATTGCGTTCTGCGAATTCTACTAGTAGCTCTCCTCTGGCGCTTCTAGTACCGATGCCATAGTCTCCTATTGCCTGGTCTCCAGCCTGCTTCTTCCCTACCTTTGCATTAAAGTCCCCCATCAGTATAGTATAGTGTGTTTTTACCTTACTCATTCCCGATTCCACGTCTTCATAGAAGCTTTCAACTGAAGCGTCATCATGACTGGATGTGGGCGTGTAAGCCTGTACCACCTTCATCTTGTATCTTTTATTCAGTTTAGTTACGATACCTATAACCATTTCATTAATGCATTCCTCTATGTTTCCAGCTATGTTTCTGTGAATTAGGAACCCCACTCCCAGTTCTCTTCTGTCAGCCAAGCCCCGATAGCAAAGGACGTGTCTATCCTGTAGCACCGTATATGCCTCATCTCTCCTCCTAACCTCACTGAGCCCTGTTACATGCCATTGAACACCCTCTAGCTCCTAAAATAGTACAGCTAGACTTGCCTCACTAGCCAAGGTTCTAGGGTTAAACGTTGCCAAGTTCAGGTTCCAATGGCGGCCTGTCCGGATCCAGAGATTTTTAGCGCCCTCTGCTGCGTTGCAGATCTGACCACCGCCGTGGTCACTTGCTTCGCAGCTGCTGGGGACTGAGGACCGTGAGTTAATTGACGTATGTATGTGGGAGGTAGTGGTCAGATAATGCACCAGGGTGCCGAATCCTTTTCTGGTGAGCGAGTGCGTTAGCGGTGGTGGTCACCGGCTAGGCCGCACCCCAGGCCTCTTAATGCAGTTACATCACCGCGCAGATTTTTTTATCCGGTTCGGAGCTGCGTGGCACCGGCATTCAAACCACGGACCTTTTGCATGTGAGGCGGATGCTCTAACCTCTACGCCATCGCCAATTTGTACTTCGGGTTAAAAAGCGTGGGCGCCGCTGCCATGTGCGCCTTATACCTTTAGAGGAAATGGGCAGGTGGCTCATACCCTTGTATGTGTAGCGCTATCGCAGAGCAGAACGATGGCACAACGATGACGACCTTCCCTGCTCCATTGCTTCAACTACCTGCCCATCATCCTTCGCGACAAATGTTACAAATCACCTGTGCTGCGAAAACTAACGTGTTCAAATGTTCTCTTTTTCTGTGTATCCACCCCTTATGTAATACCCCCAGTGGGGTCCTTAAGGAAATAAAAATGAATGAATGAATGAACGAATGAAAGTGGCCGTATCGTTTTACACTTGCGTATCCTGCAGTTACGTGAGATAGGAGCCTAAAGTGGTTAGCGGCTAACTTCGTAAAACCTTCTCGGTTGTTTTCTACCACATTCATGTCTTCATCATCGCGGTGAAACTGAGACTTCTTTTTTTTTCGTTTTCAGCAACAACACCTAGCCACATGCACCTGTATGGAGGCGTGGTCTTCACAGACAGCCTGCCACGAAATGCGATTGGGAAAGTGCTGAAGAAGGATCTCAGGAATATTGCGGCTGACAAAAATACGATCAAGCTGTGAGGCGCACTACGGTATTATGAAGTTCGTCCTGTGACATGAAAACAACGTCGCCTTTAGCAAGCACGAATGCGGCATCGATTGGAGGTTGTCCTTGTACAGGGTCGTAATGAACCAGACGCCGTCGTTGGCTTAATAAACGGTAATACATTGCGCGATGAGCTCATCTGCTTCCATCTCTTTTCAGGTTGTATATTTTCATCAAATGATACAGTAGGCTCTTTTGGGACCACAAAAAGTAATGGTTCTGAACGTATGTATACTACTTTAATGGGTGAATCATAGTGTCATAGCTTAATTGCTGTCAATACGGTGAACCAGTCTGTCATATCTTAATTGCTGTGAATTATTTTCAAGTAGTTCACGTGGTCAAGAGAGGGGCACGGAAAGGAGAAAGCCTAGAGCAACCCAGTAGGGAAACCCTAGAAACGCAGTGCCCTCCTCCTGGTATAGCCTATGTAATGGCGAATGTCACATATTTGAAAAATGGTTGCGCCAGTCGGAAAAGACGGTCAAAGAACAAAATACAAAGCAGTTAGAGGGTATCGAGGAAAACATATACCTTCGAAATTGCTGGCTCTGCCACAACGTGCCTATGAAAATTCTGTCGCCACTCGCTTTAACGTATTTTTCATTATAACGGTGAAATGGTGAAACCAAGCAAACATGTACGCCTGGTGACAAAAGTTTGAGACAAACTTCACGGTAGGTGCTAGCTTCTGCTCTGGTAAATACATGACGCTTCAAATGAGATAGCTTTATATCAGCGAGAACTCGTCTTTATTGAAAAGCAAAAAAAAAAAAGAAATGTCCTGCAAGCTTTTGTCGCGGGGGTACAATTCATACGGGTGTGGAAATATAATTTTCGTGCAACAAAGGCTAATATTATATGCTTTGCGTCTCGAAAATGTACATAATTATATCTTTACAGGGACAATGGTCGCATCAAGTGACGAAAACACCACAAGATACGTGGTAAAATAACGCTTGACCGAGTCACGCGACGAACATAAAATATCGCAAGACCCAGTGTTCTAGTTCCGTTCGTGGTTTTGTTGTAAGCATCAGTTTATTGCAGGGATTCGTGGCATCGGAGATCGGAAAGCTCCGCCAACGTAGCGCGTGTCTTTGTCAATCGGGTAGTAGAGCGCGGCGATCCCCGACTCCTCCAGCTGGACGAAGTAGCGGGCCCGGTACTTGGCTTCGTAAGGGCCCCAGTCGGGGTCGGGAGACAGGGCCTTCTGCCAGTTACTTCCGCACTGTATGACCCTAGCCACGGCGATGATGACCACTGCCGCCATACCGACAAGAGCCAGGACCCAGCCATAGCCGTCGGCCCAGGTGGGAAGCACGTAGTCGCCGACGGTGCTTCTCGGCAGGGTGGCCAACGTGTAGACGAGGAAGGTGCCGAGCACTACGGGTGACACGTACTTGATGCCGATCAAAAAGTAGTAGCTCGGACATCTGCCCGTCATGAAGGCGACGTCGAAGCAGAACCGGTCCATGCCGTAAGCCCAACCGACGATGAGCGTCTCGCCGAAGCAGGTGAAGAGCACTATCAGCGCGCCCAGGTAGTTGTCGAGAATAGTGAGAATGTAGAGGCCCGCGCGAGTGGTCAGTGGCAGGCCGATAAGGAAGCAGGCGACGCAGTATAGAAAGGTGGCGACCTCGCGGCGCCCCTCGAGTGGCGGAAACAGGTCCTGGATGGCAAAGCGATGAAATATGTAACATACCAATTGTATAAAATTTAAAAAAAAACACATTGCTTGATGATAGTTTGTTTTAAGATCTATATGGCTCAATTATCCGTGTGCTTACTTGCTCACTGTCAAAAGTGTCTTAGTATACGAGCAGGCGAGGGGAGCTTGTTGAAATGTTTGAACTATGTTCCAGTCTCATCATGCAGGACAATGGCTTAATTTTTGTGTTTGTCGTTTGAGATAGCACTTGTGTTTCGATGTGGAATACTGAACTGAATCATAGGGGGAGTAGTTGCTCAGCAAGGCAGGAAGTTCTGCCCAGGCCGACCTTTATGCTGTTCTAGGCGGTTTCACTTAATGCAGTTGTTACAGTGAAGACCAAATTGAACCACATGATAGCATGGCCTTTTTGTGCTTTCTTGGGTAGGTGTCGACGGGATTAGCATTTATTAAACACTTAGTGTCGACGCGCAGGCCTGTGGGTATGAACTGGTAAACGTGGGGATGGTGAAAAGCACATTACACAAATACTGAAGAGGATACACACATCAGTACACGCTGCTGACATACTTACAAAGTGCTCAATTGCAAATGTTCCTACACTTGGCTTTCCAACGCAATTTCAGTAAGTTTCTATGTAACTTCACTGTGTGCATGACCAAACTAACGATCCACAATGCATTACTTTAATGTTTCAGCTTAGGGGTCCTTGTTTCAAACAGTGAATACTACGTAGAGCACCAATCGGGCTAGTTGAATGACGTTTGTATTTGAGGTTATTTAACCACACTGAAAAGTATGGTGAATTAATAGGGTAGAAGACAAGACGGGCGAGTTTGGGAAGGGGTTTGAACAGACGACCGTTTGTCACTGCAATGAACATACCTGGACGGATTTAATGACGAACTCGCAATTGGCCATCTGCGAGTCGATGCCCAGCATGAACAGCATGGTGAAAAAGAGCACCGACCACACGTTGGGAAACGTGAGTAGGGCCAGTGCCTCCGGGTAGGTGATGAAGGCCAGGCCGGGCCCCGCGCTGACCACCTCGTCGACGGGTACGTCCAGCGTGTGGGCCAAGTTTCCCAGCACGGAGAAGATGACGAGCGAGGCGAAGGCGCTCGTCATAAAGTCCATGATGCAGATGATGCGCACGCTGCCGTGCATGTCGGCGCGGAACTCCTGGAAGCTGCCGTACAGCACTAGACCACCAGTGCCGATGCTGAGGGAGTAGAAGACCTGTTCGGTGGCCGCAGCCCACACTCGGCCGTCGAACAGGGACTCCCAGCGAGGAAGCAGCAGGTACCGCAGCCCAATGCTGGCGCCCGGCAGGGTTATGCCCCGCAAGAGCATCACACCCAGCATGTAGTAGGGCGCAGTGGCAGTGATCAACGCCACCTTGCCGGATACCTGGGAGTTTTAATGAATATTGCGTCCGACAAACACTGAGGCAGAATAGACGCACACGGAATCAGAGCATGTAACCTGTACAGATAGATACCTGTTTGGAAATTGAACCTCGATGTTGACATTGCAAATTTTACTTCCGACCGCACCAGCTGCATTTAAATCGGCTGCACTTTAACAAAATGAGTCACGTCATAACTCTCGCCCATAATATAGGTCAGGTTAAACTAGAGTCATGGAACGCGCGTCTCTCAAACAAAGTAAACGTATCTTGAATTGAATAATATATGTGAGAGTTATATGGTGCGGGACAAAAAAAAGTGCCAAATTGTTTTTTATAGTGCGTTGTGTAAAACTGACCGCGTGCTTATGTTCACACAGTCATAAGTGATTTGCGGCTCGCACTATGACATTTACAATAAGCAAGTCGACTTGTTTGAGGGTGATCACGTATCGACGCATGAATACGATGGGGTCGCGGCACTTTCTCTACGTTATCTCGCTCACATGACAGCGCATATAGTGCAGATGTCAGTGAGGTTTATTTGGCAACACCGTTGGAAATGACATAATTAGAGGCTCTGCGTACTGATGTTGCATTTATATTTTACTCTACCTATATTTTACACGAATCCACACCTGAATGCCCTTGAAGATGGCGAGAAAAATGAGCGTCCAGCAGAGGCCATAGCAGATCAGCAACGCCGGCTGCAGCTCTCCAGCGTCTTCGATGCGCGGACTCGCGTTCAGCACGTAGTCGTTGTAGAACGCCTCGGTTGATGACGCGTTCGCATTGAGGCAACCCGCGAAGCGAGCCGAGTACTCGTTTTGTGACACCAGGACCGTGCGGTTCATGTAAGACACGGCAACCAGGTGTGCAGCGCCGGTGTCGTTGAGGCCAGCGGCGACCAAATTGCGCCTGACGTTTTCGCACAGGCGCTGACCAGAGCCGTGTTCTGGGCTCCTTCGGTAACAGCCTTCTGGAGTGGCGCCCCACCACTTGAAGCAGTCGGACCATGGCAGGGGCCGTTTGAACGAGTGAAACAGGTAGAGGAAGGCGTAAGTCAGCACCACTTGATAGTAGATGGTGGTGATGAAGGCGCCCCACATCATACTGAACGCGTTGCCCTGCAGTAATGAGACACATAATAAATGGGCCTATACACATCTTTGTCTTTAGTACCATTGATAAATATAATTATTCTCATGTCTTTTTATGAACAGAACGGGAAAAACTTGTCTCCTATATTTCGTGGCCTGATGGTGTGTTATTTGTGATGAATCCGGTATTTATCGGCCTATCCCAGCCAGACATCATGTACAGTTCGTTCACGTTTTTGGCAGTCTCGATTTCTATGTTGCGCAATTACGTGTATGTAGCGACGCCAGTTTTATCATTTTTCTGTTTCTCTACCAGTGATCTGAACATCTCTAGATCACAATAATTGCTAGACGCGATGTGAATTCTTTAACTTGGATCTCAGTAATTCAGCAGAAAACCTTCTTCTGACATCCTTAGGTGAATGTCTTGATATCTCGTACTGATAACATGAATCCTTTGCCGGCTTCTACCGCACTAAACTATCGCCGCTGTCCTCATCCTTTGAAAATTATAGCTCCGGCATGTCTTCGTAGACACTGCGCTTTGCACAGGTTTCGCTCTCCTGAGTTATTCTTGCCATGTATACGTTGATGTCCATTACACGTTAAAGACAGATACCTGATATTTAAGCCGAAGCCCGAGACTACAAGCTAAGGACATGATGATGTCGGTGAATTCTGCGTCCTTGTCAAAAGAATTCAACAATGCAAGCTGTTGGACGGGTTGGTTCTGTTGCCCATAAGCAATCTTCAGTGCAAAGATGGAAATGAGGAGTTCATAAAAAAGAGGGAAGACAAAGTTCGCCCCGTGCACCGTATTTTATCCGAAAAAAAAAAAGGATTTGTAGGCGACCTTTGTTGACACTGCGATGTGCCCCACACTAGGGCTCCAGAAGTACTATTTAAGAATGTTAGCTGCATATCTAAAAGATTATATGTAAAGCCTCCCATTAAAT